TACGAAGTTCATGGGTTGGAAACTTAATGCCCCGTGCACTGTGTTGAGAGGTGGGACCTGAAGAGATGCTTAGAGCATAAGGGCTCTGCTCTAATAAATTTATTATCTCGAGAGTGATAATATTAATTATAACACTGAGTTCAGTCCTCTCGTCCTCCCTCCCCTTGTCTCCCATGGGATGGTGCTGCAAGAAAGCCCTTGACAGATGCCAGCACCTTTGGATAGGACTTGCCAAGCTCCAGAACTGTAAGCTGAATAAACTTTTCTTTACAAATTACCAGTCTGTGATAGTCTGTTGTAGCAACACAAAACAAGCAAAAACAGCAAAATACTGTTATGACTGAAGTTGAGGAAAAACAAAAATTGACAACAGGGACAGAGCTATATGTGTATTTCCTAAATCTTTGCTAGTTTAGAACATGGTTCTGATTGGTTACTCCTGGGTTTCCAGTCTTGATTATTGGTATCTCCAACCAGTCAGTCACTCAAGCTACAAGGGAGGGGCCATCCATATTTGAGACAGGGAAGGGGAAAGCAGAGGAAGAGGGTGAGTGCCCAGGTTGATTCGAGGGACTGAACCTAAAGAAATATGGTATAACTTCCCAGACTAGAGGGAACACTTTTGGACTGATGGTTCCTGAGGTGCAGAAGCTATGTCTCAGTCATCCCTGGTCTCCCTGTACCCAGCCTGTACCTAGCACCAACTAGGGATTATCACAAGTGGGTACTGCATAGAAAGGGTAGGAGTTATAGGATGAAAGGCCAATGCTGAGTATAAGGGGCTTTCTAGAGAGAAAGAGTCCATTCCATTTCTCTCAATGATAAGGCAAACAGCTGGATGGAGCAGGATATGTAAGAATTCCTAAAGGGAATGAGGACAAAGAATAATGTACAGGAGCAAGAATAATCATGGCGACTGCTGTGGTGTTTCCATAGTGACAGCAACAGCAGTAGTGCTGGTGACAAGTGTCAGGATGAAAAGCAGCATCTCCTAAACTTTTTTTTTTTTTGAGACAGAGCCTCAAGCTGTCCCCCTGGGTAGAATGCCGTGGCATTACAGCTCACAGCAACCTCCAACTCCTGGGCTCAAGCGAGTCTCCTGCCTCCGCCTCCCAAGTAGCTGGGACCACAGGCGCCCGCCACAACGCCCGGCTATTTTTTGGTTGCAGCCGTCATTGTTGTTTGGCGGGTCCGGTCTGGGGATTCGAACCCGCCACCTTAGGTGTACGTGGCTGGCGCCTTAGCCGGTTGAGCCACAGGCGCCGAGCCCATCTCCTAAACTTTAATGGTTGATGGCACTAAGCCAGAGTTTGTGTGACTCTTCTCTTTCAAGTCTTGAGGAATGACTGTGGAGGGAGAGAAGGATGTCACCTATGGAGTTCCAGCCTTGGAGTTGATGGAAGACCAGCCAAAAAATGACTATAGGCTCATTATTTTCAACCTTGTTATACCCCCAATGCTAGGAGCCAAAGAAACTTTGGCTACATTTTAAGAGCCCAGCAGATATATGATAACTCTACAGGTGAGGAAATAGGCCCAGAGAGGTTAGACAACTTATCCATAGACCCAGAGTTAATACATAGCAAAGCAAGGATTTAGTCTCAGATATGATTCTTAAACAAGTAAAGGCTTTTCGTGCTCCCACAAAGTCTTTGCTATTAAGGCACCAAGGGTAACATATGTAAGAGTCTACTTGTAAACCATTTATTCTTTGGGTATGCACCCATTTCTTGGTGGTCTGAGATATTAAAATGAAAAACGGGAGGTCTTCAAAATAGAAAAAAAAAAGTAAAGTTACTTTATTAAGTCTAAATATATATGCAAGTATGTTGTCTATATAATCAGGCATGTAAATGTACACATATATACAGTATATGTACAGTATTAATCATTTACTATCATGTTAAAATAAATTTGATTTCTACCACTTTTTATTCGAAAAGGCATAATTAAAAATTATACAAGTTATTTCAAACTCCACTTATTAAAATATTTCAATTATCCAATACTTTTTTAAAAGTCACAGATAACATTTCCATTCAAAGGGTATAAAATAGGCCCCCTTAATGTCTTTATAGAAAAGTCAAGAAAAGATTATTAGTTTTTTCAATTCATGGTCTAGTCCCATTGATGAAAAGGAAAATCAGAGCAATTCTAAAAGCATAGTTTGATTTTATTATTACTATCCTAATTTCAAGTTATATAACCAGCTAAGTGATTCTTAATTCAGTGAAATGACAATAGCCATAGTAAAATAATATTTTAATAGAATATTTATAAAATGATTCTATCAGTTCCTCTTCTCTTTCTCTTAAGAGGAAAAATTGAGAGCTGTCACTGATGCTCTTGCTGAGTAAAAGCTACTCGCTTCATTAGTTAATTTGTCAATCCAAGGCGTAACAGCAAGGTTTTAAGTTTCCTTCAAAACAAAAGCTTTTGAATAAGAAGGTTAGGTTTGACCTAGCGGGATATCAAAGCAAATACTTATTTTCATAGGTCCTTTCAAGTACACATTGGTGAAGTATACTTTGAAAACGTAAAAAGTGACCATAAAGACTAAGACTTTTGGCTGACAAAGGGCTAGAAGATATGGTAAATATTCAAATTACAATTTTTGTTTAAGAAAAGTCAAATAGGAACAAAATAGATACATATTTGAAAAGAATCTCTCTTCAAAGTAGTTCCACTATCGTCTAACAAGGTACAAAATGTTGATGACAGGTTGATTTCACTCCCACCTGGGATGTAGAAAAGCTGAAAAGAGCCTTGTTTCTACCCTAACAAGAACAATGTCATAACTTTTCTTGAACCCATCAAGAGCTAAAGCCTCAGAACAGCCATGTACACTAAGAAAGATAAGCCCTTCCACAGAGGAACAGATTGATCAGTGGGTGGCATGTCAGAGCCTGGGAAAGGAGAGAGGTTACCATGCAAGCAGGTAAGAATTCCACTGAGATCTTAAACCAGTTGCCAAAGGATCCATGTGAACTGTTATAGCATGAAAGAATAGATTCCCTGGGAGCTGCAGATGCTATTGGAGATTGCACCCGCTAGCAGGCTTTTCTCTACAGACTTTACCAGGTGCCCAAGGAAGAGTAGAGGCAGGGTGGGAGAATGGAGAAACTTCCATCAGTGGTGCAGACTGGGAGAAAGGAAGCTGCCACCACTACAGGAAAGGTTTGAAGCTCTGCCCAAGACCTTTTTTCCTTACACACAAAAGCTCTGGGGGGAAGGACAGCAAAACTTGGGGCTCCCAGCAAACAGGTGAAGACCATCATGACCGTGATAAAGATAAAAACTAAAAACTTCTACTCCTAGGAAGAGTCTAGAAACTCTACCCTGCAAAGAAACTACTAAAGAAACAAGCAGAGTTTGGCTATTAGAAGGACACAAAGATCACTGAGAAAGCCCTTCAACACTGATCAAAAGAAAGCAGGAGCTGTGTGCGGAGGTGCTCCTGTGGTCTTTACTTGGAAGGCTGAAGCAGGACTATCACTTAAGCCCAGGGGTTGGAGGCTGCAGGCACTATGACTGCACCTGTGAGCACCCACCGCACTCCAGCCCAGGCAACATAGAAAGATCCGGCTGTCAAAAAAAGGAAAGAAAGTTGGTGTCTCTATGTTGATATCAAAGCTGACTTTTAGGATCAGGACTATCACCAAGGATAAAAAGGAAGAACATGGCATGATGATAAAGATTATCAATTCATTAAATGTGACAATTACCAAGTATGGATGCACCTAACAACAGAGGGGCTAGAAACTCAAGAAACTGAAAGGAAAAATAAACAAATCCACATTCGTTTCCAACATTTTAAGTAATAGAATTAGATAGAAAACCAATAAGGACACAGAATACTTGACAACCCCATCAACCAACTGGACTTAATGGACATTTATAGAACAATATACCAGCAATGAGAGACATATTCTTTCTCAAGTACATGAATCATTCAAACAATATGGTTTATATTCTGGGTCATTAAAAGAGAAAGCTCCACAAATTTTAAAGAATTGAAATCATATTTGTATGTTATGCGGCCACAATATAATTAAACTAGAAATCAGTAATAGATGGTTGGAAAATCCCCAAATATTTGGAAATTAAACAACACACCTCTGAATAACCCATGGGTCAAAGAGGAAGTCACAAATAAAATTAGAAATGCTAATGGTAAACTCACCAGTGATGAAACATTCAAATGTTGAGATAAAGTTTTAGTACATAATGCAGTTTTAGGTGGCTTTATAACTAGACTTTTATTTCCATTTATGTCATGGAAAACTCTGCCCAATATTGAAAGTTTTATGACTTCACCACTTAGTGAATATAACTGTGTACCTCACTTTAATCATTACTACTTAAAGAGGATGTCTCTTCTTCCCTATGTATTGTTAGCCAGAATTTTACATTATGAGAAAGCTGAGCTCCCCCCCATTAAACTTTGTGTAACAGATAACGGCATCTACAAAACCATTCAATTTTAATGCTTCAGTTGAGAGAAGCAAGGACCATTAGTAAAAATAAGAGGCACCAAACTTTTCTTAGTCTGTTCTAGCCTTTTCTCTCTTTAGTCCTGTCAATTTTTGCTCTATATGTTTTTAGGGTATTATTCACTTGCAAATACAGATTTGGTTTTGTTTTGAGACAGTCTTGCTCTATTGCTCAGGCTCAAGTGCCAGGGCCTCAGTCTAGCTCAAAGCAACCTCGAACTCCTGGGGTTCAAGCAATCCTCCTGCCTCAGCCTCTTTAATACATCTGCCATAATACCCAGCTAATTTTTCTATTTTTAGTAGAGACAGGGGCTTGCTCTTGGTTAGGTCTCAAACTCCTGAGCTCAAAGGATTCTCCTACCTCAGCTTTCCAGAGTGTTAATACTGCAGATGTGAGCTACCATGCCTGGCCTCCCTATTTAATAATACACAAAAATAGTTTTCACTTATTATAAAAGAGCTACTTCATATGCAAAGCTAGAAATACATATTTATTAAGTGCCAAGTTCAAATTCTAAAACCCAACTTAATACACAATACAAATGAACTTTAGGTTGACAGAAAAATGGGTAGATATTAAATTTAATTAAATTTACAGTATATTGTCTTGATATAATCTGTCCTTTTAAGGCAGCGGTTCCCAACCTGTGGGTTGTGACCCACAGGAACTGTATGAAAGGGCTGCGGCACTGGGAAGGTTGAGAACCACTATTTTAAAGTCTATACACAGGCTCAAGTTCTAGGGTTTCCAGGAAATTTGCAATTTTCCTTAAAAATAAATTTCTGGCCCTCACTGGAATAAAGATTTGTCTGGGCTCGTAGAGGCAATCTGCTGTTTGGGACAGAGTGCTCTGTAGTTTCTTCCACTTTAGACCTCTCCACTGAGTTAATGCCTCTGTTTTCTTTGTCTTTTCCATGTGATTTTTTATGCTGTGGATATAAAGAGAGAAATTCAGTCAATACAAAGTAAATATCTGATACACATTAGTTGTACCCTAACTTCAAAAAAAGATCACAAATTTGAGCCAACAATTTGTTTAGGTAGAGGTGGATGATCTCCTTTTTTCTTTTATTTATTTATTTATTTTTGAGATAGTCTCACTATGTCACCCTGGGTAGAGTACCATGGTGTCATAGCTCACAGCAACCTCAAACTCTTGGGCTTAAGCGATTCTCTTGCCTCAGCCTCTCAAGTAGCTGGGACTACAGGCACCCACCACAATGCCCGGCTATTTTTTGTTGCAGTTGTCATTGTTGGTTAGCTGGACGGGGCGGGTTTGAACCCACCAATTTCGGTGTATGTGGCTGGAGCTGTAATCAGTGTGCTACAGGAGCTGAGCCTTTTGTTTAGAGACCAGGTCTCACTCTGTCACCCAGGCTGGAGGGCAATCACATGATCACAGCTCACTGCAACCTCAAACTCCTGGGCTCAAGTAATCCCCATACCTAGTCTCCTAAGCTGCTGAGACATCAGGCACATGCCACCATACCTCAACTCTATTTTTTTTTTTTTTGGTAGAGACAGAGTCTCATTTTATCACCCTCGGTAGAGTGCCGTGGCATCAGCTCACAGCAACCTCCAACTCCTGGGCTTAGGCGAATCTTGCCTTAGCCTCCAGAGTAGCTGGGACTACAGGCACCTGCCACAAAGCGCAGGTATTTTGTTGTTGTTGTTGCAGCTTGGCCAGGGCCAGGTTTGAACCCGCCACCCTTGGTATATGGGGCCGGTCCCCTACCCAGAGCCACAGGCACCGCCTCGTCTCTATTTTTTATTTTATAGAGATGAGATCTCAGTATGTTGCCTGTGTTCGTCTCAAACTCTTGGGCACAATTGATCCTCCCACCTAAGCCTTCCAAAGTAGTGGACTTATGGAAGATATGAGCCACCACACTCAGCCAGATACCTTTTTTATTATACCACTTATGTGAGTAGTAGGGTGAAAGAAATATTAATTTTTTGCCTGGAGATATTTTGGGTTGTTACGCACCAGCCACATACGCCAGAGCTGGCGGGTTCAAACCCAGCCCTGGCCTGCCAAACAACAACAAAAAATAGCCAGGCATTGTGGCAGGAGCCTGTAGTCCCAGCTACTTGGGAGGCTGAGGCAAGAGAATCACTTAAGACCAAGAGTTTGAGGTTGCTGTGAGCTGTGATGCTACAGCACTCTACTGAGGGCGACATAGCGAGTCTCAAAAAAAAAAAAAGCTAAGGATGCCGCTATACATGGTATGATCCACACAAAGTTCCACCACCACAAAGAATTATCCAGTTTAAAATGTCAGTAGTGCGGTCCTTAAGGAACTCTGCTCTAGGGACACAAAGATTTGCTACCATGGAAAAAAGCCAGTTCTACCTTAAGCAGAGAGGCTGGTATATGGGCACGTCTCCATATCTTACGTATTTAGTCATATTTTATCTTTTTAAAAATTTATTTCATATTTCTCATTTGGTAGTTATACTTTGCTGGAATCCCCCTCCTCATCTATAGAAAACATTGAGACTGGTGACATTCATTCTGAGTATACTCAGTCATCGATGCTGAGACAAATCATAACCAACTTTTAAAAAATTCAGAGAAACTCCCTTATCAGACTGCTATCAGAGAAAGGGTCATTTCTGGACTTCAGCTGAAGGTCTAAAACTCAATCCCAGACCTTTTCTGGTACTTTAGGGACTTCCTTGTCATAGCTGAATCACTAAGGCTAGCCTTCAAAATGCCACAGCTGATAACAATGAAAGGATTTCTGACCAGGTATTAAGTAGTCACTGAGGTTCTCTTATCTTTCCCTTTTTTCCCTAACTTTGAAGATTGAAGAGAGATGAAAACTCAATTATATTTATCATTCTATAATGGTAAAGAATAAAGTAAAAGGTAGGAAGAATTTTGGGATAAAAGTGCCCTGAGATAGACACAGAGGAATTTAAGAAAATCTGAATTGAACTTTTAATAGCTGAAATATCTTGAGGGAAAGACCTGTTAGTCCAGTGGTTCTCAACCTTCCTGATGCCTCCTAATGCCATGTCTCTTTATTACAGTTCCTCACATTGTAGGGACCCCCAACCATAAAATTATTTTTGTTGCTACTCTATAACTGTAAATTTGCTAGTGTTATGAATCATAATGTGAATATCTGATATGCAGGATGTATTTTCATTGTTACAAAGGGGTCGCAACCCACAGGTTGAGAACTGCTATGTTGGTTTATTAAAAACATGTACAAGGGCTTGGCACCTGTAGCTCAGTGGCTAGGGCACTGCCACATACACCTGGGTGGGCAGGTTCCAGCCTGGCCAGGGCCTGCCAAACAACTACAACAAAAAAAATAAGCTGACATTGTGGTGGGCGCCTGTAATCCCAGCTACTTGGAAGGCTGAGGCAAGAGAATTGCTTGAGCCCAAGAGTTTGAGGTTGCTATGAGCTATGATGCCATGGTACTCTACTGAGGGCGACATAGTGAGACTCTGAGAAAAAAAAAACCCATGTACAAGCATTCACATGTCAGAAGTGGCTCTTGACTGTAAGACATAGGTATCAGTGTTCTTCATAAGGAAGACACTCTTCACATGTTCTTTAGGCTTAGCTCTTCAAATCAGAGGGAAAGATGCCAGGCAGTTTATAGTGCTGTGCTCCCAACAGTGTTAGAAAGGGGGTAAGAGAAGTCACAGGATTTAAATGCACAGGATTAGAGCAAGTAAGGAGCACAAGAAGTGTGGGGGAATAGTTAACAAGAGAAGAGCCTGAAGGAGGAGAAATAACGTACAATCTAAGAAGCCTCTGGTCTCTCAATCTTTTAAACCTCTTAGTCTTCAGAGCAGAGACAGGTTCCAGGACTTCCATGCCAAGGGTAGAGGGAAGAGAGAAATGACTGTTCTCAGCATCCATTCTGAGTAGACAGGCAGCAGAATGGGGATAATTATAATAGCTAAAGACAACCAGCTGAAGATATAGATTAAGTTAAATTTTGCCTCTATTTATTCTATAGAAAATCCCTTATCAATATGGGATTTGTATAATTTAAATTGGAAAAGTCAACAAGCCATCCCAAAGGAAGGACTGAAGTTTTATTCTACACACCAAGAATACTGCTGTCTATTGAATAGCACATGAATGATTTATGTCACATGTGGAAGGGTTAATTGACAAGATTTAATTAGGTACCTGGAAAAATGGAACTCCACCACTTGATGAATAATCCACACCAACTTCTACAGCTGACTCTTGACTTAGAGGTTCTTCAGTGCACTGTCCCAGAACCACCTTTTCTACATCCGTGTCCTAAAATAAGAAGCTGGTTGAGTGACAAAGTCCAAGGGCTTAAAAACCATCATGAAAGTAAAGGCAGTTTTCTTCTTTAAATATAACATATAAACTTCAACAAAAGTTGCAGAAAGTCTACAAATAACAATTCTTCTACTCTGTAAAATGTTAGTAACATTTTAGTTGTTCTAGAATAGAGATAAGCACAATATAAATATGACTAATTATCTACTAGTCTAATAATTGAAAAACTGATAAGATTAGAATAAACAAGCCAAAGTATCAGGCAACTATCATTAGTGAGAGAGAAAGTAAGACTGAAGGTCAGACAGTTAAATATTCTTCACATAAAATAGACCACATCAAAAATTTATAGGTGATGCCAGGTACAGTGGCTCACACCTATAATCCTAGCACTCTGGGAGGCTGAGGCAGGTGGATTGCTTGAACTCAAGAGTTTGAGACCAGCTTGAGCAAGAGAGCTCATCTCTACTAAAAATAGAAAAACTAGCCAGGTGTGGCGGCTAGCTCGTGTAGTCTTGGGAGGCTGAGATAAGATGATTGCTCAAGGCTAGGAGTTTGACGTTGCTGTGAGCGGAGTCCTCAGCACTTTACTCGGGGCAATGGAGTAAGACTCTGTCTCAAAAAACAAAAAAAACTATAAGAGAGTTCTAAAATTATACTGCTTTAAATTTTACCTGACTGGTCTCTTCTGTGTTGTTTCCTGAACAGTTTAGCATCATTAACAGTTCTGGCTGTTTCCTTTTCAACTGATTAAGAAGATGTTCACGTGGTTCCGTTCTCACCAGTGTTGATGGGTATAAGTAATTTTTCCTCTCTGGTGTTGTACCTTTAGTAGACATTAGTTAAATGGAAAAAATTAGTCTGGGATATAATTAAGTTTTTTTTATTTTTATTTTTGAGACAGAGTCTCACTTTATCACTCTTGGTAGAGTGCCGTAGCACTCTACCATAGCTCCAGCACTCCATCATAGCTCAGAGCAACCTCCAACTCCTGGGCTTAGGCGATTCTGTTGCTTCAGCCTCCCAAGTAGCTGGGACTAC